TTTTTTTTTTTTAATTATTATTTATTATTATTATTATTATTATTATTTTGACCAAAGGCATAAAGCTAAAAACAGTTTGGGTTTATGGGATTTAGGGTTGGGTGCATTGTTCGTCTTTCAATTTGCATTAAAAATGACCTGTGAATAGTTTTGCTTTTGTGAAGTGTATTGGGGCATGAACCTCAAGTGTTATTATCAAAGTATCAAGTGGTACAAGCAAGACTAATAAGGTTTAATCGCAAAATATAGTCAGTATTTTGTACACGGTGGCAATTAGTAGCCACCGTCTTTATGAATTGACAATATTAGTCAACAACTTTCAAATTTTTTGAGATTATTACCCATGTCCGACTAAATTCGATGGCTATTGTTGGCATTGCATAAAAAGATATAGACTATATTTTGCAATTTATCTGTCGAATTTGGATAATAATCTCAAAATTTTGAAAGTTGTTGGCTAATACTGTCAATTCGTAAAGATGGTGACTATTATTGTCATCGCGTACAAGATATTGACTATATTTTACAATTTAGCCGACTAATAATACACCAACAACAACAACAACAATATTAATATTAATATTAATAATAATAATTATAATAATAATAATAATTATAATAATAATAATAATAATAATAATAATAATAATAATAATAATAATAATAATAATAATAATAATAATAATATGAGTATTTTTTCTCTCCATTTTTCCTAAAATGAATACTTAACTAAAATTGTCCATATAATATCATCTAATAACATAATGAATTCCAGGGTTCATTTATTGGTTAATTTCATGAGTGTGAATTGAGTAGCACTCTAAAATGGATCAACTTATTACTAGTTCATTTGTATCTTGTTAGTGAAACTTCTTTGTACTTTTTATAAAATAAGAAACAACAAACTCGTTCAAAAAAAGTACACTATTTACAGTTTTTATCACTCCCTCAATATACAAATACAATTTTGCTATGAAGTCATCGGATAGCTCGTCTTATGAGCCATTCATAGTTATTCACAAATAGTGTATTGACACGTTTCCTACAATACATACATTTGGGACATGTGTCAATACATTAGGTGATTGATGGCTCCATAAAAAAAAAAAAAACAATCCGATAACTCCATAGAATTTTTGTATACAAATAATTGTCATTCTATATAAATATATAAGAATTATTAAATTATACATTTCCTAATATCACTAGAATAAATAATTTTTATATTGCCTAATTCAATCAGATCTCCATAAATCATATATTTACATATATTATTTTCAAACGGTTATTATTTTTCTTTGCATATTTGAATCATTTTCTCTATCTCTTATACTTTGTTTATAATCTTTCTGGGCATGATTGTTTATCATCCCTACAGTAATTTTTTTTACTCAAATTCAAATTTAACTCAACTTTAACTCAACCCCACTATCTCCAATATTATTATATAATTAAATAACATCAACAAATCATTATTACATATCACATCAACTTTAATTCACTATTCATCCACTCACATAATTCTAACTAATTTTAACTAACTATCACTTCCAATCATTTTTTCTCCTACTTTACATCAAATCAACTTTAACTATTTTATTTTAAATACTATTTTAATATATCCACTAACAACTAACCATACAACTTTTTCTTAAACTTAACCATAATTAAAAAATTCTAGTTTTTTTACTATTCAAACCATAAACAATCACCCCCTCTGTATTTTAAAAATGAATTTTGAACCGTCTATATTATTTGAAACTATACCACATTTAATAGTAACTGATGGAGAATATAAATATATAATACTAATTTTGTCAGTTAGATAAATTAATAGTACTATTTTTTTTTTTTTAAAAAAAAAAACTATATAAATATTGTTATTATTACATAATAGCAGTCTTTACCATACTATAAAACGTTACTACCTCCTATTCAAAATAAATGTCGTTTTGACTTTTTTGATTCATTCATTTTGCTATGTATCTAGACATAAAATATGTCTAGATACATAGCAAATTTTATGTCTAGATACATAACAAAATGAATGAATCAAAAAAGTCAAAACGACATTTATTTTGAATAGGAGGGAGTATATATTAATTTTTTCGTGGTCAACCATTTTAGAGTAAGAAAACAAATAAATGAAAAATGAAAGAAACAGTCCCTGTCAGAACAATTTTAATTAAAGCTAAAATCTGATCCCCAAAAGTTCTGTATATATAATCTGCAGCTGTCGAACTGTTTGAAAGAATCAGCTCGTCACAAGTTTGAATTTTGGAGATTGATGGCTTGTACCTGACAAAATCATATTGAATTTAATGCAATTTTTCTGATTCACCACTGCCATAAAGCCAGCTAAATGCGTGTGATTTTCGTTCAGCTTGAAATGTCGAATCGGAGAAAGAATCAGTCGATTCGATGAAAAAACTACATGGGATTTTGATTTCTGGATCTGAATCGAGCTAGGTCGTTGTGGGTTCTTAATTTTTTTTGTTGGGTCGTTTGTTTGAGCGAGAAAATGCCACTGGAATCGGCGTCGGAGCAGGAGGGGGAGGGTTCCGACAACGAGCCGGAGTTTGTCGAGGTTGATCCTTCCGGCCGATATGGACGGGTTCGTATCATTCTACAGTTAAATCCGTTTTTTCTTTTTATTTTTGGTTTTTTGTCCCCTTTGATCGTTGTTCTGTTTTCGAACTGTTCTGAGTGTTTATGGCTTGTGTTGCGATTGAATTTTTATTGTACATTGGAATTCAGCAAATGGGTTGTGCAGAGAAGATTTATTTGTGATGTGATGTGTGATTGGTTTTGTTTATTCTTGCATAATTGTCTTTTTTCTTACTCAGCTTGTGTGTCTCTGTAATGCATTATTATTATTTTGGTTTTCCCTTGTGGCAGTATAAGGAGATCCTTGGTAGAGGAGCTTTCAAGAAAGTGTATCCTTTTTCTGCTTCTCTGTTCGTTTAGTTTGATTGCTTCAAAATATGTTTGAATTTTTTTTGTCCATAGAATTTGAGTATAACTTCACATTTTCGTGTGAAGCCTTAATTTTCATGACGGAAATATAGATACAGAGCGTTTGATGAATGGGAAGGTATTGAGGTGGCTTGGAATCAAGTTAAAGTGGCCGATCTCTTGAGGAACTCGGTCGATTTGGAGCGGTTGTACTCCGAAGTGCATTTGCTGAAAACCCTTAAACACAAGAATATTATCAAATTTTACAATTCGTGGGTCGATACCAAGAATGAGAATATCAACTTCATTACTGAAATCTTTACATCTGGGAATTTGAGGCAGTATGTGGAAAAATCCTTGAGAAACTGTCGTTTGTTTATTATATATTTACATTTTAGTTATCCTTTAGCGAAATGTGAGGTTGAGATGGTTTGTGTGTCTGTGTTTTAGGTATCGGAAGAAACATAAGCATGTTGACGTGAGGGCATTAAAGAAATGGTCCAGACAAATCTTAGAGGGTCTTTTATATCTTCATAGTCATGACCCGCCAGTTATTCACCGTGATTTAAAGTGTGATAACATATTTGTTAATGGAAATCAAGGGGAGGTGAAAATCGGTGATCTTGGACTTGCTGCCATCCTTCAGCAAGCTCGTTCTGCGCATAGCGTGATAGGTAAGCTTTTGATTTTATGTTCAGTCTGTCCTTATTATATTAATGGAGATGGAGATTTCAAGATCTTGTAACTGTGAATTTTGATGCTAGGCACACCTGAATTCATGGCGCCAGAGCTTTACGAGGAGGAATATAACGAGCTTGTGGATATATATGCGTTTGGTATGTGCTTACTCGAGCTAGTGACACTTGAGTACCCTTATGTTGAATGTGCCAACGCGGCTCAGATATATAGGAAAGTGACAGCAGTAAGTTGTTTCATTTTCTTTAGCTTAACTTTCTTTAAAAGAACTTTTTGGTTAAGTTAACTTCTCATCATTTATTTGCTTGTTGAAGGGTATCAAGCCTGCATCATTAGGAAAAGTGAAGGATCCTGGGGTCCGGGAATTTATAGAGAAATGCATTGCAAAAGTCTCTGATCGATTATCCGCCAAAGAACTACTGATGGACTCATTTCTACTATCTGATGAAGATTCTGGAAGTATAGATCATTCACTGCAGCAGGCCCAGTCTTCAAATCCAGGTGCACTTACCTATATATTCTTTATCGTGTTGTACTGTGGTGTTTGCGTTCAACCACTCTTTCATCTTTCTGACTATATATATGCAGATGATAATGAAAAACCCGATTTTTCTGTGCTCGAGGGAAGCCGAGATTTCATGGTGCAAGGCCAGAGAAAAGATCATAACACGATATTTCTCAAACTTCGTATAGCAGATTCATCAGGTTCTTGCTTTTCTTATCCAATAGAGATTTTTCCAACTTTTTGAATAAATATAATCAATCTTACATTATTTATTAGCTCAGATCATGTTCGCAACATTCATTTCCCGTTTGATATCGAGGTGGATACCTCGACTGATGTTGCTCGGGAAATGGTCGAGGAACTTGATCTAACGGATCACGATGTATCGGTTATAGCTGCAATGATCGACTCCGAAATCCGGTACCATATTCCCGATTGGGCCCCGAGAGGGCCCTCGAGTGACAACGATTCTCCAAAATCTGGGCCACCCATTCTTGAAAAGCTGCCTTCAGGAAGAAAATACTGGTCAGACTCCCCCAAACCAAGTCGAGAAAGCTCACCGCTAAGATCATTACCTCCATCTAATATGCTTTTGCCCGAGTCAGCTGCTTTTGGGGATGGCTGGTCTGAGGCGAATTCACAATCACCTGTTAGTCATAAAGATGTAAACAGTTTATCCGGTGGTTCTCCTCTCAAGCATGTTAACTATGATGATTATACCAATCACAATGATGGATGTAAAAAACGAGGTGACTCGGACCCTCAAGACTCTCAATATGGTGATCTTGGGTTTGGCTCACTAACTCTGGAAGAAAATGTGATGATGAGAGATTTGGATACTGTTGACATAAGTAGTATTGTGGAGAAACTCGAGAATGTGTTGGATGAGCAGGTGAAGGAGCTAGATGAGCTAAAGAAGAGACATGAACTAATTGTTTCGGATCTGTTAAAGGAACTACCCAAGGAGATTCTTGAGAGAGTTCTTAGCATTTGTAAACAGAAGATCACCGAACATAAATTTCGCTACGAGGGATTGAATTCTGCAGAAGATGAACTTACCAATCTTCTTTGACGATGTAAGTCTTGAAAAAACTTTACTTTTGTAAGTTGAGCATTATCAAGTACTATGGAATTATCCATACAGCCCTTGAGGCTTGTAGCCCGCTAAAAAAAAAAAAAAACTGAGTTATTCTTTTGTAAATTGGAAACACTCCAAGGGCATGTTATAACTTATAACACTTTAAAAGGTTGTTTGTCGTTTCGAAGATGACTACTTTTTATTTGGTAATTTCACAAAACATTGTTTTTTTTTTTTAAAGGATAATTCTAGTTGCTCATCGAGGTGTACATACTCTGACATTGGTAGGATCCCTTTGAACATTTTAATTAGATGGACCTAACCCCATTTGAGTTTATGTACACCCTTAGGTGCAAAATTATTATGTACATGTAGCATTTCCCTTCGTGAAATTCCCTATTGATTGTATTTAATTACACATTAATCATACTTGTCCTGAAGGTCTCAAGATATTTGGAGATTATGAAAGTATATGAAGCTATCAGTTGGACCATAATTTAAAGGTAGAGAAGTGTTCATTCACTTACTTTCTACATGCTTCTTTAACAGATTGGAGGAAAATTAAAATTTCTGTTCCGAGTTCAAGAGATGAATGACATGGCAGAGTCAAGCTGTATATATACGTACGTGGGTTGGATAACTTGGCGTGTAAACCTCTGTTGAGCATGCACTGCATTACAGGAATATAAGAATTGCTGCTGCACAGATTGTTTGGATTTTTCCGAAGACTTGCAATCATGTTTTTAGTAAGCCTGAGAGATTATGTTTTACTATACCCACACTGAGAATATGAAGACCTTTTACACTTTTTTTTTTTTTTGGCGGGGTCCCTGTGAAGTATACTGTATACCTGTACAGATTTGTGTTCATTGTTGCTGACTGTTTTACTGTGTGTCGAGTTTTTAGAAAAACTTTTTTTCCCTTTTTCTTTTATCTTTGGTGTTGTTGGACAATGTTAGGGCCTCAAGAGTGCGTGGAGGCCCTAATATATTTGTACAATAAAAAGAAATTTTGATTTAATTCACATGTACTGCAATAGAATTGTATAATATTATCCTTTTTTTTCCCCCTCTTTTTCAAGTTGCACTTTGAAATTCTGAATCCTTTAATGAGTTCAAGTTATGGCATTCTTCATTAATGACTACACATCTGAGTTCTTCATCTGATTTTTGAATTATAATAACTCAGATTATGGATAAGGGAGAAAACCCTGATTGAAAAAGTTTCTCCTTTGTTCACAGATTTCCTGTTGATCTATAGCCAATATGTAACATTATATCATATATCTGAATTTTATTACAAATACATTGGGTTCAATCTCATGTAAACATCTTGAAACCATACACCATTACTAAAGAAAACATTGTGGCTGCTAATCTTGAAAACATCAAACTGCTAAATGCTAATATGCTCCAATAAGTGTTTGAAGATAGTCGACAAAAGAAGCTCTTGGACGAACTTGGCTTGCAGCATTTTCTCATAATCCTGTTCTGCAACCTCATCTTGGGCCGAAAGTTCAATTCTGCAGAAAAGGAAAATCAAAAACCAGTCCTCTATTAGTTAAAAAAAAAAAACAAAAAAAAACAAAAAAAGTGAAGTGG